CGGATCGCAACTCCCACATTCTTCGGAAATTCCTGCAGAATACTTCAAGCTCCGCATACCTTCAAATGGCCAGCTTTGTAAGACGCCCTTCTTGATGCCTGTAGCATCTGATTAGCTCAAGCGAATTGCGGCCATGAGGAGCACCTCTTGCCAAAACAAGACACTGTGATGGGAGCGTTCAAGTCGCTGCGGCATTCTCAGTCACGCTTGAGTCAGAATAACTACATAACCGTACTCATATCGCCTCGACATCTGGAGCGCTGCAGAGAGCTCCTCAGCATTGCTACCCTCGATGCCCAGCAATGCAGCTGATCGGCAAACTGTGGAGGGTCTAGTGTCTAGTGAAACTCTCGTGGAACGGCTTCTAATTCAAAGCGGAAGCCGCGTGATACAAGAAATCGAAGGTAATCGATGGACATCTCACTCACAAAGCCTGCTGCACAGAGCCAGGACTTGCAAAGAAGCACCGGCTAGGCGAAGCTTCATATGATACGTATGTCTTCAATCGTAGTTGCGATTAAGTAAGTTACCGAGTTCAGACGCTGGGTTAGGTCTCCAAGTCTCCACATGTCTGGCCGGGACTGGGGTCCATAGAGTCTGTATTGCTGAACCACTACATCAGCTACAGGGGCCCAGAACAAGATGGGCTAGAGGCCGTATCGGTAGTGCTGACAGGATGCAAGTCCCGCGATGGCTGTGACAGCCATCGTTTAACTTACCACGCGAGCCTTCACCAAGCCTGGTCTTCAGGCTCCAAAGGCGCACGGCTTTTGTCATGAAACGTCATCAGGCAGGGTGCGTCAAATGCCCACGGACCGTCAACAAACAATTGCCAGCGCGACATCATCCATACCTTTCCATACTAACGGGTTGACAGAGCGAGCATGTGCTGTTATCAGGATATGGCACATGTCACTCAACACTGCGACCAAGTTTGCAGCACCTATAGGCTGTCGGTCTCTCTTGCGCTACGTCTTTTGTGCAAAGCTGAAAGCTCATTCACATTGACAACTGCATGCGCCTGCCAATTTTGAAAAGCAACCAGCGGCTCGAGCTGCGAGGCTGTTGAATCCTGTGCAACTTGTCAAGCCGTGTCTTGAAACATGTGCCAGGCGCACGCTCCGTCATGCTACAACTACCCCATGAGACAGACACAGCACGAATGCCCCTTGGCCATAGAAACCATAAAGCCGAAGGAAGGGGAAATGATCGAGGAGCCCATTTTAAGGGGTTTATTGGGTTTCACCAAGGCGCAGGCTTCAAGAAGGCACGAAGCAGCGTCCCAGCATCTGGAAAAATTCGAAGGTCTCTGTCAGGAAGCCGACCTGCCAGACTGAGGGTCTATAGGATTTAAGGCTTATAGATTTAGGGGTAGGGCTTTAGGGTTATTAGGGTTTAGGGGTTGAGGATTAGGGCCTATAGGGTTTGGGCAGGTTTCGTATGCTTCCGGCCGTGCCTCCATTTCGGTCGTGGTCTCCGCCTCCTCCACCAGCAGCAGCTTGTGGACGGGCATGAAAACCATGAACTCATGCTCCTGGCACAGTGGCATCTGTCCACAGGCATGAACTGCCGCATCATGAGTGCGTGCAGTCAAGGGCGCATCTGTCTGGCAGACACACACACACACACACACAAACCATGAACGATGACAAAAGACGTAAACCACAACAAGCCAGTTTCACTTGAAGCTATACCAACGACATTTCTCAACAAAATGGACGGCTTGCAGTGTGCGCAGCAACTGGTCTTTGCGGCGTGGTACGGTGTGGTTTGCGAGCTCCATGTTTGTCGGGCTGTGGAATCAAAAGGTTGAGACTGGTGGAATATATTTTTGGGGGAGGGACGGCCCATCACTCCTACACAACCCAGCTTTGGAAAGATTGCAAAATGTCAGTGCGAATGGGAATGGTTGCTGAAACCTTTTTTTCGAAGCACACCATCAGCATTTGCCAGGTAGGTTCTCGTCTTTTTGTGCGAAAAGCCCGCGTCAAAAACCGCCCAAAAACCTGCGCTGGTAACGTTATCGCGGCTGGATGGGTTATATGGGGCCACGATTACGGATGATTACGGTACCAGCACACAGGTCTTTTGGGCGTCAGAACTCCGGACGCGGACCTGTGCGGACCGCGGGTTTTTTCTTTGGCAATAAAAGACACAAGCGCGGACCATGGAAAACATCGAGAAAGCGTCGCAGATTGGTTTGGGAATTACGAAGGTTTAGAAAGAAGCAGAAACCGTCTTGGAGCCTCGCGTGGCAAACATTTCCTGTCTGGGGGAGAGGGGGGAGTACGATGAAGCCCAAAAACCTGTGCTGGTAACGTAATCGTGGCGCTATAAGGCTTGTGTGTGTGCCCCTGAGATCCTGAACCCGATGCCCCTCAAAAGAGGATGGTTTACGCAAATGTTTATCGCTTTGTGGGAAGAGCTCCTGTGCTGTTTCCAAGAACCTTTGTAACCGCTTTAAAGTTGCAACTCTGCTTGCTCTGCGAGAAGGTTCTATACAAGCGCGATAAAAACATCCTATGTTTTCCTAACGTCTGCATTTTCAGAAATGTGTAGAAGTAAAAGCATATCCCTTAAAGGTTTGGCGTATGTCCCCTCTCTTCGTGCTCGTAGGGCTTTTTTGGTTTGGAGCACCTCAGAAGTTTGTGCCCATGCCTCGGAGCCGACCAAATAGCCCGAGCCGGGTGATGGAGCCTCGATTACGCTACCAGCACGGGTTGCTTTGGGTGGTTCTTCACAAAGTCTTCTCCCACAGAAAGAGAAAAAAAGAGACCACCCTCTTTTTGCGCGAAAAAACCGCATCATAAGCCGCCCAAAATGCAACGTAATCGTGGCTGCATAGCCCGGCGCGAGCTATTTGGTCAGAGCTTTTAGGGGATGGGTTATATGGGGCCACGATGACACAGGTTTTGTGCTTCAGAACTCCGGACGCGGACCTGCGCGAACCCCGGTTTTTTTCTTTTGGCAACCAAAGATACAAGCGCAGACCGTGGAAAACTTGTCTAGCAGAAAGCGCAAGCCCACCCAAGACACGAATCATGCATAACGCGTTTTCTCCCAGCAGGCTCACATCTTTGCAGCCTTCCAAGCCCTGCAATGCTTTGGAGTTTGGGAAGGCCTCCCTATCGGAGTGCAGAATAATGCTGCACCCGCAATATTCTAGGGGGATGCTATTACGAAAAGTTTTTCGGCTAATCAGGATCTTGGCCCTTTGTTTTGGGGGTCCACTATAATGAAAAGATTTCGGGCCGTGACTGTTTTTTTAATGGTTGATGGCATAAGCTTTCTCGAGAAGAGGGGATACTTGAAGCCTGAAGCCCCGACCTTTCCAGGATCTCCGAAAATATTCTTTTCAGTGCGCCTTTTTGATACATTCCTTACTTAAAACTATATGGTCCAGAAGGTTCGTTGGCTTAGGTCCTTACATCTAGGACCCCCCAACTGTTTCACGTGGCCTGGTGTTCAAGCACGGAGCGAAAACAGAACTCATGCACGGAGCTACAATTCGCAAGCTGGCCGTTGTACAGTGTTCTGTGCCGAGCCACCATGCCTCGTTGGGGGGAGTGCTGTTGCTAAAGGTTTTCACGAAGCACGCGAGGGGAAGTATTGAAATCAGTTACTTCGAATTACTTCGAAAGACCATGGGTGAAGGTGTCCGCCTGTGGTTGGGGGCGTTATCAATAGTTCGGGCATGGGTGGTGTTTTGTTTGCGGCTGTCGTCGGGTAGGACCGTTTGGGAAGGGATGAACGCTTGGGTTCGGGGAGGGTGAGAGGGTGGTTTTGGGGCAGGGAGAGGGGTAGGGGACAGGGGACGTGGAGGAGTGGCGCGGAGGCGAGGGGGCGGGTGGGGGCGTCTCCTGCACAGCCCCAGTGTCAGTTCTTGGTTTCTGAACCACTGCGGCAGGAATCAGCGCTGCAGGCCCAAAGTAAGGCTGGCTCTCTCGGCTTGACCTTTATAACCACCTCCCTGTTTTCAATCGCGCGGGCGTAGGGCATAGGGTGTAGAGTGTAGGCTGTAGGGTGTGGGGTTTAGGCTTCAGGGTTTAAGAACCCCATTTAGTGTTCTGCAACTAAGAGGCAGTGGCATTGTCGGCAGGGCCAGGATCTCCCACGGCGAGGGCTGCCACTTTTCCCTTCTGGAACAAGCGTGTCAGGACGAGTTGCATCCACGCAGGCAGAATGCAGGCTTTGCAGAGTGCAGAATCTCAAGGGCTCGGAGCTAAGAGCCCGAACTAAGCCGAATCGATGCCATGTGAGCAATGGAACTAGTTGCATGAGCCTTTAGGCTGTGGCTCTTTTGCTGCGGGCACGATGGCTCTCTTCTGCCTTTTGCCACGCAACCGTCCACATGGGACGGGCACGATGGCTCTCTTCGGCCCTTTGCCACGCAACCATCCACATGGGACGGTCTCATGCGTTTGGATGAGGCCGAGGTGATCAACCAAGAACAGCCTTCGATCGCACAGCGCTGGGCCGTGGCTGCCGGAGTAAAACTTGCATCTGTACAGTCTGCCCCTGGCAGGAACTCCTCAATCGAAAGCGATGCGAAATTTGGTATGATATCCCCCATGTACTGCTTGGGGGGGGGCCCAAAGCGCATCATGCACTTTCGACCCCCCCCCCCAGGGCTTCTCAGAAACTCAGACATGTCATGGCGAGCGCCGCCTGTTCATCGCTCATGAAAGCCGTCCAGGCAACCTGAGACAGATTCCCCAGCTGCGCAAAGCAAAGAGGACTTCAGTAACAGAAGGACATCGACCCTACGCAAGCCAAGAGCTCTGACTGCTGTCGAACCCAGGGTTGCCTCACCACAGCAACCACCCACCCCCCCAAAAAAAAAAATCCCCCCCGACCTGCCTGGTACCTCCCCCACCCCCCCCGCCCCATCAAGCCCCCACCCCCCACCACCACCCGAGTCGCACTCATAGTCACAGTGGCGAATGGATCTTGAACCTTGTCCACGTCCCTTCCAACCCTTTGGTGGGCCGTCGCTGGAGGCAAAGGAGGCGCATGAGACGGCACTGGCGCAGTTCGGTCGCCTAGTGGGCGGCGCTTCGGGACCAAAGGTCCCACTGGCTTATCTCCTTCATCAGGATCTGGTCGAGGATTTGCACCAGCTGCAGGAGTCGGTGGAGGTACGTTTTGACCAATTGCTGCGTATGACTGGCCGGGATTGGTCATCCACTCAGCCGGTTTCAAATTCTCCAACTTCTCTTGATGCACTCGAAGACGAGTTCGGATTGGCCATGGATGCCCTGCGGTTGTCGTACTAAGATACACGGCTGATAACCTGCGTGGAGGCAGAGATCCCACGGGATCCTATGTTGACACTGGTTCCCTCCGCTTGAACACAGTGCCACTCCCTTGTTTTCCACTCGGCCGGAACGATCTTCCAGTCGTGAAGGCAGGTGCAATCGGTCTCCAGGCGGAAATGCCAAAGTAGGGTTTACTCCTAAGCTATCGCTCTTTACGGAGTTCATGAGCCGGAGCTCAATCTTGAGCCACGGGCGTGGCGGATCATAAATAGTGGGTTCACCACGTGTCCTCCGAAGAGACACACGGTGCCCTTAACATCAGCACACATACGCAACACAAATAGCACTCTGGGAGTAAAAGGACAGCCCTTGCCTGTCAGCATCGAACAGGCCCGACCGCTTCTCCCGTCTGACGGAGCTTAACTTCGGCTAGCCCCTACTAGCTGGGAAAACATGCCCTGAGATGCCGGGGTTTTCGGATTTTGAGGCAAGGTTTAGGTTCACTTATGCAACGGTTGCGACATGTTCCTGTGCGTGAAATTCCAGGCCTTGCCATGTCGAGCGCCTTGCTTTCTGTCCTCGGGTGGACCTCAAAGCGCATCAATGGGAGCAGGAAATGCAATGGATCCCGGGTGTTTCGGATGTTTCGGCTGGCGCTTGTTGTTCGATGATAACGTCCGTGTGACCAGCGCGTGCGAGTGGCCAAGAGCATCCATGTCCGCACGAATGTAACTTCCCAGTGACCAGGGCGGGCGAATGGCAACAGCATCCACGTCCGCACGATGATAACATCCGTGTGACCAGCGCGCGCGAGTGGCCAGAGCATCCATGTCCGCACGACGATAACGTCCGTGTGACCAGCGCACGCGAGCGGGAGCATCCATGTCCGAGCGATGATAACGTCCGTGTGATCAGTTCGCGCGCGCGGCCAAAGCATCCATGTCCGCGCGACGATAACGCCCGTGCGACCAGCGCGCGCGAGTGGCCGGCAAAGCACCCATGTCCGCACGATGAAACGTCCATGCGACCAGTGAGCGCGAGTGGCCAAGAGCATCCACGTCCGCACGACGACAACGTCCGTATGACCTGCGCGCGAATCCATGCCCGCACGAATGTAACGTCCGTGTGACCAGCGCGCGCGCGTGGCCAGAGCATCCATGTCCGCACGATGATAACGTCCGTGTGACCAGGGCGTGCGAACCCGTGTCCGCGCGATGATACGTCTTCTTTCCCCTAAACAGGCTCGGGTTGTGAAGAAGGCTGCTGTGGCAAAGAAGCCAGCTGCTTGTTTCTGTCCTGAAGAAAAAAATGTTCGCGCGGTTGGCGGAGACAGCCAAGTCAAACTGCTGTTGGAAAAAACCAACTACGTCGGCTGAATGCCTTAGGCAAAGTGACGCCGCGCAACTCGCATACCATGCTGCTTTCTGCTCGTCGCTTCTTGCGGAAGCCTGGATTGCAAACCATCCTCGAAGCTCTGCATGTTTATCGTACAGCACGAGCCGGACGTGTAGGATGCGATCCTTTGCGCTATTGCGATGTCAATCATGATGCATAGTGGCTGTTTTGAACGGCACGCCACGTGGAAGGCGCAGCGAATCCAGAAAAAGTAAGGAACTTTCGAGAAACATTGGTGTGTAGCCTACACTATGGCTTACAGGGACAGAGGTTTCAGGATTCTGTACTGTTTGGGCGCACGCGAACATCCCCCTGGCGCGTTGTTATAGATTCCAACCACGGTTGCGGCAAACACTGAGTGGTGATTACGCCTGTTGCTACGCATGCTATGATCATGCGTTTACTGCTGTTTCTTGCTAGTATTGTTACATTTCTTACTATGCTGACTGCAGGATTTGGGTTTGTGTCTCAAGAACAATTTGTAAGGCTGCTGCTTTGCTGACCCGGTCCACGAAAACCCGTTCGTGGTGAAGATTCAGCCGGCCCTGCAGGCCGCGAATTTCCCCCCCAACCCCCAGGCCGACACAATGTATATGTATATATGTATATAGGTATATATGTATATATGTATATATGTATATATGTATATAGGTATATATGTATATATGTATATATGAATATATGAATATATGTATATATGTATATATGAATATATGAATATATGTATATATGTATATATGAATATATGTATATATGTATATATGTATATATGCATATATGCATATACGTATACATGTATATAAGCATATAAGTATATATGTATTTAAGTATATACGGGAAAAATATATATAAGTATATATGTATTTATGTGTACATGTATATATGTATATATGTATATATGTATATATGTATATATGCATATATGTATATATGTATATATGTATATATGTATATATGTATATATGTAGAGATATAGATATGTAGATATGTAGATATGTAGATATGTATATAAGTATATATGTATATATGTATATATGTATATATGTATATATGTATATATGTATATGTATATATATGTATACATGTATACATGTATACATGCATACATGAATATATGTATATATATGCATCTATGTATGAATGTATATGTGTATATGTGTATATGTGACAATGTGTTTATGTGTATAGGTGTATATGTGTATATGTGAACGTGTGTATATGTGTCTATATATATGTGTGTATGTGTGTATATGTGTATGTAAGTATATGTGTTTATGTGTATATATGTATATGTGTATATATGTATATGTGTGCATATGTGTATATGTGTATATGCGTATATGTGTCTATGTGTAGAAGTGTATATGTGTGTATGTGTATATGTGTCTATGTGTGTATGTGTATATGTGCATGTGTGTATGTGTGTGTGTGTATATGTGTATATGTGTATATGTGTATGTGTGTATATATGTGTATATGTGTATATGTGTATACGCGTGTGTATTGTGAAGTCGACCAGCACTGGACTTGCACTAAGCCAATGCAATCACAGCCCGGTCACGCTGTTTTACGACTTCGTGAGTCCAAGCACTTGTGCAGCTACGCCTGAGTGCGTCCGGTCGGACCGCACAGCAACCTAGGAGCTACTGTACGACTCTACCGTGCTCAAAGGCACAAGCTCGGTACTTGAGCCAAAATATTGGCATTGTTACGAATTGCAAAACTCTACATGCAAAGGAAAACTACAAGGTGGTCTGCCGAGTCCTAATGCATCACAGAGCAGAAGATGCATATGCACTCATGTCAGCTCACATTCGCCCCTCAGCCGAGGCTCCGGTGAGTGACTTCCACAAGGAGGGCGGGCGTCCGTCGCGGCTTTGGGCGCAAGCCCGCAAACGAAGACACGCGAAACGAGACGACCCAAACGAGCGACCCTCCAAAACCAGCCTAAACCAGGCGGACCGGTCTTTTGCATGACCTGAGTCGAGGCTCCAGTACACAGAGCCCACTGAGTGCCTTGAGGACTGCTACGGCAGACACTGAAATCTATGGTACAGATGGTACACTGTACACGGCCGGTCCTAAGCTACGGCTACGGCTACTCACCTATCCGGAACTACCCTACGGGCTACCAGACTCAGCGAGAGCCGCGCACATGGCTTGTGCCGCAGGCAATGCAGCTCACACGCGCTTCGGCGAGCGCATTGCCGCGACCAGGACACGGTCCGCAGCACCTGCAAAAGAGCACCCTCAGCACGAGGGGCCACAGGCAGGGCGGAGGAGAAAGGTGCGGGGAATGCAAAATGGGCAGGTTTCCAACCTGCCGCGGCTTTTCGCCCGCAGTCAAGCAAAAGAAAATGCAAAAGGTTGGCGAAGCAACGTGCCGTGCTGCAACGCCTGCTCTGATAATGCGTGGATGCTTACCACGCCGCGCCGACTGGCCGCAGCCTACTCGATACCCTGTGGAGCAGTGTTGGGGGCACGAGTGGCGTTGCCAGCAACGTTGGAGCTACTGGCTCGCTCCAACTGAGGGCGCCTTGCGACCGCCTCATCGAGGGAGAATGCCTCAGCCGACACCCTCTGGAAATCCTCGATATAGGACTGCGCGACCGGGTGCGTCTTGGCGACCTCAAGCCTAAGCCCTGCCTCCGCATTGGCTTTGCTGCTTGTGGTAAAATTGAGGCTCCCAATCAGCACCACCGCGCCATCAGGCCGCAGTAGGCAAAGGGCCTTGGCATGGTGAAGCCCTTGGATACCGGTACCTACTTTAGCCCCGCGGCCGTCGCGAGCATAGGCGTCGCGCACGGATGAGCCGCAACCCACCTTCACCTCGGCGCCTGCAGCCGCCAAGCGTTTCAACGCTTGCCACTGCAGTTTGGTGCGGTGGCATTGTCCCATGTCGGCGACAATCCGAACGCCTGCGCCCTTGCTAAGCGACGCTTCGATTGCCTCGATGCAGGATGGGCAATCTAAGCTGTACGCCCGGATGTAGATCACATCCTCTGCTGCTCCAGACCCAAGCAGCGTTTGGGCGGCCTGAACGTATGGCCCGCCCGCAAGGAATTCCGCTTCTTTGACTGGAGAACTCCTAGCGGGGACCGGGCCCTTGTTCCTCCGGCTGGGTGTGCGCGCTACAGTGGCAGTGGCGGCACGTTGCACGAAGCCGGACTGTGCGTGGGCTGCGCTCGCTCCATCTGCTGGGGCCGCGGCCAGGTCACGACCCGCGAGCCCCTGAAAGCAGGAGAGCCCGCGGCTCTTGGCCGCAAGTTGGGAGAAACATCCTTCACTGTCCCCCAAACCCAACACAACCTTACCCTTAGCCAGGGCTTCGGAGGCGGTACTCCGAATGGGGTCTGTGAGCGCAGGACCCGCGCCTCGCTGGGCCGCGTGCAAAAACCCTAGGGATCGAGCGGTGTCCATTGCGGCATCGCAATGCCCGCAACGTCCCTCTGCTAGGTAAGCACGACAGCCACAGGCAGCTGTCTCCTCTTTGAGGTGCACCCAAACTTTATGGGTCACCCCTTTCTTAGTGCTCGCGACCTCAAACGTCGCTTCAGAGCCAAGGAGTTGAGACAGCCGCGCCTCAGGGGCCGCGGTGTTGCCATGTCGCAGATGCGCAATGC